TTAAAGCTAAATAAGTGCAAAACTATTTTATTTCTTTCTCGTTGAGGGTATACATTTTTGAAGTGATCAATGTAAAAACTGATCTTCGTCATCCACTGACGTGTACTCGAGCCACCTAGTTCACACATCATGCTTGAATTTATGTATATAACCCATCAGCTGTTGTCCACTGCACTGTTACTAGGTGTTTGTAACTTCAACCTGCTGGTTACCTTACTAAGACTGAATTTTATCAAACAGTCTTTCTGATAATTACAGTGGTATGACCTTATAAAGCGAATAATTGGCTGCAATCAAGTTTAGAAGGTCAGAGGTTAAGGTCAAATTTTGGATGTTCCATTGCTATATATATATATTTGTGTGTGTGTGTGTGTGTGTGTGTGTGTGTGTGTGTGTGTGTGTGTGTGTGTGTGTGTACATGTGCGTGTGCGTGCAAAAAGTTCAAAAGTCAAGTCAGGTTATTGAGATAAAAAATATATACATATGTATTTATATGTCAGAGACTGGAACTGTGATCTAATCATGAAGGATTGACTTATTTGTTATCTTATGTTACAAGATTCCTTTAACTTTTCTGTACATAAAACTGTCATACAGATTGTGACGACAATATGGTTTGAACAATGTTTTGTCGAAAAAATCATAATCTTGACATTTATTTGGGTGAAATTGATCCCCTACTTTAATTTTTAAGTTTGCTTTTTGTTTATGTATCTTTGCGATGTATCAATTGCCAAATAATCAACGTTTCAATGAAATTGACTTGGGAAGATTGACCTACATACAAACATGCCCCATCTGAAAACGATCTATGTGACACTTTGTTAACGAGGAGAATGTGGCAAATGTATTTAGGTTAAACGTATCAACAAAGGTTGGTTTCCTTCATTGAGAAGAGAGTTACAGACACTGTGTTGCTAATTATACCATAAAGGTTGGTTTACTTCATTGAGAAGGGAGTTACAGACACTGTGTTGCTAATTATACCATAAAGGTTGGTTTACTTCATTGAGAAGGGAGTTACAGACACTGTGTTGCTAATTATACCATTGATCACCCATACATAACAATGCTATTTCTCTACTTTACACTTGCCACACAATGTTTTACTATCTGGGTTTTGTTTACATCTGTAAAATCAAAAACAACTGACCACTTTGTATGAGACAGCTGTTCGTTTTAACACTGTTCATCAATATTTTCAAATTCTGAACTTTCTGACAACAGAAAATGTGTTTACCTTTCCAGCTTGGAATAATACATCATAACCTTTTTACACCGAATATTTTTACAAAGAAAAAAAACAAACACAAACAAACAAAACAAAGAAAATAGATGTGCTAATTAATAATCTCGATCCTTTTGTATACCCAACACTTCACTTCCTTTACAAATTCCAAATGCATATCTACACAAGCCAAATGATTCAGTACAGCTTTGCAACATTTTGATGTTGATTGTTTCATGGCAGAATGATATTTACCATAATACTTAATACCTAAATAGCGGAATTTATTAATTATATGTATATATATATCATCATATTATCATTTGATTGTGTTTTTAATACATTTATTTGTATCCGTGTTAATAGATAGATGATTCCATTTATCAGTATAATCATAAATAGTATATAGCACGACTTGTACACCTGTACTCTTTTCCACCTGGAAGCTAAACATAGGAAAAGAACAAAGCTCAAACTCTTCCACTGTGATATTAAATGTAGTATCCGAGTCCTCTCATAGTGTTACCATCGCAAGAGCAGGAATATGTCTGCTGTATCTCACTGTATGTCGTAAGAGACGATTAATTATGAGGCTCCAAGCAGAATCCTGGGTGTTCTGTCTTGTCTTCTTCTAAGGGGGCATTTGAGAAACTGAAATAAATCAGCTGCCCCCACTGCAAATCTTTAGATCTTATCTTTTCCTCTTTTAAAAATCCCCCTTTTTGATTTTTCTCTGCCCTTTCTTTCATTGTTGTCTCTCTATCTCCAGATATCCGTACTCTTAAGACCCTGGCTGTTGCAGGGGCACAAATCCCAAAACAAACGAACTCGGATAGTTTAAAATACCAAAGTACGAACTGACAACAGGGGCGAAAAACTAATCTATTTTCAGTGGCTTCATTTTTTCAAATTTTTGATAGAGCCGTGCTTTTGATAACGACACACGGAATTAGTTTCTTTCATATTTGTTTTCTATTCCTGAAAGAAAACCAATTACTTATCACTTATGGTGTAAAAAGTTTCCAAAAATAGTTTCATCTAATATACTTTAAAAGCAATCATAGAAGCGTGCCTAAGAACATGACCTATTTTCTGTTTTCTTCAGCAGTTAGAATCATCTTGCAAACCAAATGTCAATGGGGAGAAACGAGACTATTTTGTATGTTAAAGATCAGCTTAAATCATTTCAAGACGCCAGCGTCAATTTCAGAACAAGAATAAGCATTATACTAACAAAGCTTGGATGCTTCAAGCGCGTGTCTGACTTTGTTAAGTAGCGCTAGGTGATCCGTGGTTTTTAGTTTGCATTAAGTTTTGATCGTTGTAACTGATTTACACGTGCATTGTAGAGTTTCAGAGTTTGGCAGAAAGAATGGGTCTGTGTTACATAACTTTGAGAAACACTGTAGTTGTCTTATCTTTAACACCTCCTCGGGGCGCTATTACAGATAAAAACTATACTAGGAGCTTACAGATATGTTAAGCTTAAGTATTGATAACTTCGTCACCCTGATTTTGAAACCGTCATTAGACTTTTGTCTAAAATTCATACTGCTTAATCTCGATCATGCTATTCCATTAACAGCTGGGGTTGTCATATAGGTACCTGCATAAATTCATCCAATAAAAAAATGACCGAATGAAACGGCATTCTACCGTGATCACAATGATATTTAATGTATTTCCAATCTAGTTTTGCTCATACCAGGGATGTTTAGACCGACTGAAAAATTACTATCATTTCTCCCAATTAAGAATATGCCACATATGAACAGTAACAGACAACCTTAATGTATTTGTTGTGGTCAAGGAAATGAATATTGTTCGTAAATACCGATATCAGTTTTGAGCTGTCTTCTTACATATTTAAAGCTGCTTTGAATGACAAGGTTTTGCTGTAAAATATCATTTTGCGTTCTTTAATTACATTTCCTACGCGTGTAGCGGTCATACGCAGAGTTTAACTTAAACAGAACATCCATTTCTGATGGTGTAATCTGTCCAGTGGTCCAGCATTTTAAACATTTGCACTGCCAATTTCACTTTGAACAAGGGATTGGACACAATAATTCAAACATATCAAAGTGTTTTTTTCTATCATTCTTTAACAATATATACATGATAACAGTGAAATAGCTATATATATGAAATAGGTCCATTTTTACGTGAAATTTACACAGACACAAGTTCACAAGCTGAACACAAATTTTAATGATCTACCATCCCCGTTCTAGAGAATATAGACACGTTGGTTGTCATATGTGGTACTTTGAAATACGTTTATCCTAATAATTAGTTCGATATCGTGGTATTGTCTTGCAAATTTACATATATCTGCATTAAGTATTTTTATAACATTTTAGTGCCAATAAAAGAATCAATCAATAATTTTTGAATGGAAAGCACTATTAAGTATACAAAAAATTATTTTGATTCTGTTTCAAGTGCCACGAGATGCAGTGCGTGATGCTTTGTAATTGATTTATTAGTGATATTTTAAAAATTTGGAATTTTGAATAAGTCTTAAATTTAGTTTATAATCATTCGTTAAAGTGCGGAGTCGTTATTCATACCGAAATTGACACTTTGAGTGGCAGGCAGGAAACTTTCAGTCGTCGATCTTTAGAAATCAATTTCACCCATGACATGCACATCTCCCAAAATATACACAGTATATCTAGCAGGGCGATTTCCATGATAAACTAACGAAACATTACGTAAAGAACCAATCACCGACTGCAGGAAAAGTATGTGAAGGAAACGAAAGCGCTGCTATAAATAATGATAGAAACGTACTCCACAACGAAGCTTCAGGATTGTGTTTTTCAGTTTTGGAGGCTGTGGTTTTGTGACAAATTTTGCCACTAACTGGTCAGATTTTTTAAGCTCTCTTGAATTTCATCTGATAAAGGTTGTTTATTTTTGCCTACAAGAAACTTGATATATTTCTTCTGTCATTTAACATGGAAAGTCCGCCAATCAGAAGCCATAGATGTTATCCGAACTACTGCACCTAACTTATAAACCACAGCACAGCCAGAGGCAAATTACACGGCATTGGGGGAAAATCTACAGATCTACATACACTTAGTGCTTTCTCTGTACAACTAGGAACTTCTATTACAATAATTAGGAACATACACAAATCAGGAGAATGGAAGATTACGGGATACAGTTGGAGTGTTAAGCCGACTGGAATTGCAGAGATATTTCAATTGCATAGCTTCATATTCTCTCGTAGATTTTGTTGAGTATATTTTCGCTGGCATACAAACGTAATTTTTTGCGAAGAGTATTTTTTGTGATACTTTAATTTAACAGATTTTTCAAGAGTGATTTTACTACATTATACATGTTAATCTCCGTTTTCTGCTAAAATGGTTTTTAACCTATTGCATTTGTGAACATATAAAACAGTTCTTGTCGACGAATCGTATCGAAGATCTTTGAACTGATGACTGCACGAAAACAGCGTTAGGTGTGTGGAAGGGCAGTTATTTCTTAACTGAATTTATTTCGTGTGTTATGACTTAACCTAGAACAGACTTTGAATAACACTAATGGATTTCTCCTGTGTATAAGACAGATATAAACCAGATTTATCTTTCATATACACATTTAACTGGACTGATGACAAGCTGGACCAGCTAAGCTTTGAAATACTTCACGAAATGTGGTTGTTCTGGCGCACATTTGGGGCAATCTGGCGGCAGGATGGAAATTAGAAGTTAAAGTTATCAAACACCAGATTTTGACGATCATTAAATGAAAGTGTTAGGATCAAGTACGAAACATTCTGAATTCTCTGTTCTTTTCAAAAGATGGATGAAAAATATAAAATGTTAGAAAAGATAGATGAGGGGAGCTTTGGTGATATTTTCACTTTACAAACACTGACTGGAGGACGCGTTTTTGTGTTGAAACAAATAGCATACAGGGGCAGTCTTCTGGCAAACGAATACATCGTCGGGGAGATTGAGTGTCTGAGAAAATTAAAGCATGATCACATCATCAAGTTTGAGGAAGTTTTCATAAGTTCTAATTCTGTTAATTTAATTCTAGAATATGCGGAGAATGGGAATTTGGAAGATTACTTACGAGAACATTTCCCAATGAAGGGGGTATTATTGAGAAGATTCAGTGTGCAGATTTTAGAAGCGATCGAATTTTGTCATTCCTTTGGGATCGCTCATAGAGACTTGACCCCCAGCAACGTTTTAATCACTGCAGACAACGTCATCAAATTGGCTGACTTCGGTCTTGCGGTTTGTGCTGTGACAAACAATGGTGAAATTGTTTTGTGTGAGGATTACCTTGGAAACGTCCCATATCTTGCTCCGGAAGTTCTGAAGGAAACTCCGTATGATGCTTTGATGGCGGACTTGTGGAGCACAGGGATGTTACTTCATTACTTACTGTTTGGTAAAGTCTTACTTCACGGAACGGCGGAGGATGTGCTGTACAAGTCAAACGATATAGCAACATTACTTTGTAACGTAGACACTACATCCTTTTCTCGGACAGAGAAAATTATATTTGTGTATATTCAAAATCTTCTGAAATTTTTACCGAAAGAAAGAACTGCAATTGGAATACTGCAAAGAATTGTGTCACACCATTCCATAACGAAAATATCCAACTGTGTATCGAGTGATCGCGTTTGTGGAATGGTTGGAAATATGTCTGACAATTCAGAAACTAAACTGGTCACTAAGCCATCACGTGACATTGTATGTGGAATGGTATCATGCGCAGACACTCTCAGGCAGGTATAATATTGTCGTCATGGAATGCGGGTCCTTTATATAAAACATGTACTACATATCAAATTTGTATTATAGATTTAAATTTTAAGTATGTTGTTATTTTTGTGGAGCTTTTTTATTAGCTTTGAAATAAATTGAGAAAATATATCTTTTTAGTGGAATAGTTCTTGATATGGTACATTATGCTGGGATAGGTATACTCCTAGTCAAGAAGGGGATCCTCGACCCCTCATTTCTCAAATTGACCGTTGTATTTTTCCATTCTCTTTTAATCTAATATAGGGTGGCCCACATTGGTTCTGAAAATGTCTAAAATTGTTTGAAAATGATCCATAGATTTCAACTGACACCATTTTTCCTCAGCGTGAATAGTTTCGCTAATTAACAAGCTGTAAATATAACCTGTTTATTACGTAACTACTCTGTTATTGGTGTAACGAACACACACTGATGTTGTTAGTATATCCGTTATCTGATATGGCTTTACGGAGTTTTGATGAGCTGGAGGTTCTCGTTGTTTCCATTGTTACGTCATAACATTTATGGCGTCATATGCATCATTATGTCATCAGAGGACCAATTAGATAAAAAAAAATTCTAAGACTCCAAACTCGTGCAAAATCCTCTTCTTACAGTTCCGAATTAAATATGCCAAATGACCTACGACAACGTGTTACATGTAAAATGTGTTTTTGCAAAATGTTTCCGAAATCGAACAGTATCGCATTTAAACAATCGGATGGAAATGTTCCCATGTGTTTGAGACGAAGTTTGGACGAAAATGTTTCAACTTATGTTGTCTTATACAGTCTATGATAATTTGATGTGACGAAATAGCGACAACTTGAACACTTTACTGTTTTATACATTATTTTCCTGTAGTTTTAATAATTTCTATTAGACGTTGGATAGCCGTGTCTCTTCTGGATATTCATTTGATATTTCCACGACACACTTGAAAAGGAGATGAACATCTCGTTGATATAATACAGTCAATAAATACATATACCCTTCAACAACAAACTGTTTCATGGCTGGCTGTTACGAGGACCTTAAATCACGTAAAAAAAGCAACAGATGTACACAAAGTCTGTTTCATATACTAAGGATGGTGTAATTTATGATGAACAAGTAGACTAATTTGTGTGACCTATAGGTCACGGACAAAGCTTGACATATAACGCAGCAGAATAGCCGTGTCCTGTCAGTAGTGTTACCAGCTTGGGAGATTTACGAGGCAGCAAGTGTCTAGAAATATCACTAGCTGTCTTTTACACTCTTCTGTTGTAAAAACTATAAAATCGTGATTGTAGATGATAAACTACTCACAAATGATTATTATCATACAGCGGGATTTCTTTTACATTTGTAAATTTAGATCTTTTTTCGGAAAGTTATCCATGAAAGTTAGGAATGACTGACACTTTGTTTCATAAGTTCACCTTGAAAACTTCTGGTATAGAATGATGGATGACGTTTCACAATATTTGGGGCCACTACTAGGAGAGTTGGGGGGTTTGGGAAGGGATGGTGTCGTAACGAGCATGAATACTGGAGAATGGCGTTCATAAACTTATTCGGAAGATATCATACCCGGATTGTTGAGATCCGGAATAAAGATATTCCTTTGTATATATTACTGAATCTCGTGAATAATTCGCACACTTATATTTTCGAAAAAAAAAACCCATTTCATACGTTTAACGGGTTTAATGGGTTTTCTGTTATTATCTGAATTGTTGGACTCCATCGAACAGAATTACGAAAATCCGGGAATGTGTTGTGTATTTTTGTTGACAGCTGAGTTTGTAAACATCATTTGAAGTCTAACATTTGTTAGAAAAAACATAACCAGAGAAAGAGGACATAATTCAAATGCGTTGTCCGGATGGTAATCGAGCAAAAACATAAAAGTTTTGACGTATTTACGAAATCAATCATTTAAATTTTTTTCGTCATTGATAAACGAAAATTGTGTTTTCTTGCTCTATAAAGGAACAGTGCGAGTCTCCCTTCATTTTCGAAGATTTACCACCTGTCTCGAAACAGCTGTGGGTTTTGACATTTAGTAAGGGGATAAATGAGCTTTATGGTATACCACACACATCTTGATACAATAAAAATCGCCAGTATTATCGGGAATCCCGGATACTTAGGGGAGATAAAACCCATGACATTTGCTTTAGATTGTCTGAGAATTACAGTTATTTTAGTGTGCGAGCATCATCATTTCTCGAATGACAAAGCAGTCGCTCAATCTAAACCATCTAAAACTGAAACCGCATCATCCAAACGTGTAGATGGTGCTTCATTTCATGTTTTTATTAGTAATTTAGATTCTATACAGGTTATTTTTGTTAATTTATCTTTTTTTATTTATATATTTCACATTAAGACAAATCGTTTGAAAAATTTGTTTAGCATCTGAAGTAAAAAAAATTAGCAATCCTTGTAAATCTTATTGTAATCTATCCCTACACTTTTCCGGTTTTCCTTCCTCACCGCCCGTGATAACAATAACACAATCTGTATTTATATGTTAACTTAACGTCATAAATTTGCGTCGTTATTTTGTTCTGAAACTCTGATTTCAGGACCAGCTTATAAAGACCAAGATTAGTTTCTGATTTCAGAATTTCAGGGGAAAATTGATATGCTAGAATGAGGTTGCTGACAGAATCAAACGGTACGCCAAGTTATCTACAGTAAAGGATGAAAGTCAGTGACATGAGATAGGGTTGTTTACTTAAACAGCGAGATCGGCAGTCGTATTGATAAGGAAATAGGTTATCATTCAATAAAGATATTTCACTTGCTGTCATGTCTCAAACTAAATTTGGAAACAGAGTTTCTGAAGCAAGTCAGATATTACTTTTATCAATAGATACTAGAAAACTTAGGTGTTCAGTCCCTAGCGAAGAGCGGTTTTTCCCACTGCGAACGACTTTTTTCCAAATCAGGATGAAATTTCAGTTGAGCCACATGAACAAATATTTTGTCAAGATTACATGTGTTTTATAACGAAAAATTGTTAGAATTGATAATAGATGACATGTTCCAGACAACTGATTTGTGAGAAAACTTGAACTTTTAGTTTTAACGTGTTAGAAAGAGCGGGTTCCATGGGGAACCAGGGAAACGACATATTCCAATGCTTACGTTCTTGACTTCATTTTTTAATAAGATTACGAGAAGATTGAGGAATGCATTTAACACTTCAACGATATATCGAACGTATTTTCAAAGCACGCACTCGAATGAAGATGTAATGTATGATCAAGTGTATTTGGAATTCACTTATCAATTCTTTCTTAAAAGCAATCTTCTAGAGAGTTATTTATGAACTAGCTGGTCAAAATTTCAAGGAATATCTTGACTCATCCATTTCATTATCGAGGTAACTGTTTCATCAATTCAACGTCGAGATGTTGCAGATTTACGTTTTTGCTTCGCACCGTTGATATTGTCGATATCATCTTATATTCGCAAATACATATAAAACTCAGCGAGAAACTAGAAAGTATCCCCTGTTATACTTTCTCTCCTGATTCAGATTTTTTTTTATCTCGTTCTTATAATAAACAGTTGAATATCTGCCGATCGACAGATCTTCCTCAACGTGCAGTGGGGTGACCGGATGGCGCTGTGATAAAGGCAATCATCTTTCACCCAACCGTTCGTCGTTCGATTTCCGGAACGGACTTGAAAAGATATTACGACGAATGTCTAACCGCATAGGTTTTCCCTGGGTAACTCGGTTTCCTCCGACAGAAAAAACCCTCCCATCTCCATCTCGATTAATATAAGTAGAAAAAAAACTTGTTTTTCATTTGTTTTAAAACATATCATTTCAAACATATTAAAAAGACCCATTGCGTGTTTCCGTCCTTGCCAACAAGAGTGATTAATATCAGCCGGAAAAACTTGTCTAGTATTTGTTGTAAAATAGGTAAAGTTTTGTTTTTGGCTGTTTGTAAACAACCATTTCACAGGAGTATCAAACATAATCTATTAGTTTAGTATTTGTTGTAAAATAGGTAAAGTTTTGTTTTTGGCTGTTTTTAAACGACTATTTCACAGAAGTACCAAACATAATTTATTAGTTTAGTATTTGTTGTAAAATAGTTAAAGTTTTGTTTTTGGCTGTTTTTAACGACTATTTCAAAGAAGTACCGAACATAATTTATTAGTTTAGTATTTGTTGTAAAATAGGTAAAGTTTTGTTTTTGGCTGTTTTTAAACGACTATTTCACAGAAGTACCGAACATAATTTATTAGTTTAGTATTTATTGTAAAATAGGTAAAGTTTTGTTTTTGGCTGTTTTTAACGACTATTTCAAAGAAGTACCGAACATAAACCAGAGTATCACGTACAGATGTGTAAATATACCACTCCCTCTGTACTGCCGTTATCGGTTGTTTACTTCGTCTCTCGTTATTTTCAATGAAGCAAAACAGAATTGTTTGTAAACAAGCTGTTGGTTATTAATTATGCCTGTGCCGCATTTATCGTTATTCATATTCCACATGTAAATAAAACAATGTTATGTAATTTTATCCCCATTACGATAATGTTTACGAAGCGTTGTGCAATAAAACTGTTGATAAACACAACATAACTGTAAAAGAACAAATGACAAAAATGACATTGTTTATCAACAACCATTTGAGAAGTGTCTGCACTTGCTATTTTACGAGACTGGTGAGGTAGATGGACAACGTACTGGAACACCGGCCAATTCGCTTGTTGTCCTATAGCAATGATAACAAACCACAGAATATGTTTTAAGAACAGATCTTCACATCACCTCTACAGCAAGAACAGGGAGATCACAGACAGCGGCTCAGAATCAAAATAAACAGAATGATGATCGTTTTAGTGTTATGTTTTATTATTACCAGGAGAGAAAGGGGAGCTTATGTACTTACTATGTGTGTGGGTAAAACATTTATTTACTTTGGAAGAATCAACAACACCTAAAAACGGACACAGGTGAACATTACAACAT